CATGGGCAGTGGCCCCGGGGTGTGGCGCGGGTTGCGCGGGGGGCCTTGGTGCATGGCCATGGGGCATGGCATGGGAAGTAGCCATGGTGGAGGAAGTGCCCGCAGGCTGCACCTGTGTGGTGTGGGGAGTATCCCCAGGGTGTGGCCTGGGGTGCACAGGCGGGGTGTGGGGGGGATGGTGTGCGGCCATAGGGCATGGCGTGGGGAGTAGCCCTGGGGTGTGGTGTAGGACATGTGGGGGAGCATGGCACTTGGGGTGGGTGGCATGGTGCATGGGAGGCCTGCCACATGGGCGAGTGGAGGGGCTGACACGTGGTCACATGGCGTTGCATGGGGACTGGCCATGGTACAGGGAGTGCCTGCTGGTTGTGGCCATGTGGCATGGGGAGCAGCCTCAGGGTGTGGCACGGGGCACATGGGGGGGGTGGCATGCAGCCACAGCTGGCAGCTGCTCCCCATGGGGGGGTACGGCCGCAGGGTGGCCCACGCACCCCCATGCTGGCTCCTCACATGCCCACATGCCACACCACCCATGCCCTTCACACCCCATGGCTGCAGCCAGTGGGCACTCCCTGTGCAGGGGGCATGGCATATGGCTGCATGGGGGGCGTGGCATGCTGCAGCCAGCTGTCGGCACCATGCCCCCCGCAAGCCCAACAGCCTATGGCCACAGCCAGTGGGCGATCCCCACACGGGGGGTGGGCATGGTGTGCAACCACAGGGTGCCACACAGGGAGTGGGCATGAGGGGAGCCACATGGAGAGCTGCCTGTGCACCTAGCACACGCTCCCTGTGCGGGACCCTGCAGCCAAGCACCATGCCCCCCCGCACCACATGCCATGCCTCCACACAGCTACACGCCACGTCCCCCACAGAGCCGCATGCCATGACCCCCTCCCCTCACCTCCCTTCCCCCTGGTGTGGTGGAGCATACCCTGGCCCCACCTCCTCCGCCTCCACCTGTGTGTCTATCTGTCAGTAAGGCTCTGGGTGGTGCATGCACAGTTGGCCTGGAGCGTTATGGATAGACAAACACACAGCCAGAAGTGCTATGGCTTTTATTGTATTAGAATTATATATTCAATGATTATATTTAGACAAAGAATTAGGTCACAAATAAACTGCCAAAATTAAAAGTAAGAAAATGCCCACCTCACAAAAAAGATCAAAACTATTTAACACACTTATTAGCTGTGTCATGGAACTATCCAACTGACTTCATTTTTGTAATTAAAGGTGATCTCTGAAGTCATATTGAAGGCATATTGTCAGCTATGAGGAGGATTACATAGCCTTTCTGTTCAAACTGTTCAGAACTGTTCAAACTTCAACAGTTCTATCTAAAGAAAGGACTTCTGTTTTCATGTTAGCTGCTCTAGCATTTTCATTAGCTCTAAAGAAGAAATAAAAGGCCCAAACAGAACATGGTATAAATTGTATTTTAAAATGTGCTCTGTCTTTTTTGGCATTTCATAGGCAAAGGAAGGAGACCTGGCAATTATCAACAACCTTCTAGATGATCCCAGCTTAACATCAAAGAAATTTAAAGAATGGAAACTACACAACTATGAATTCTTCCTGGACATTTGTGAGTACAGTGCTGCTCTGAAACCTCAAAATGGAGCCTCTGAACTTGCAACCCCAGCACCACTGCTGACACACACACATTCATTCATTGAAACGCACGTCTGACAGGACTAGCAGCTAAACACTTGTTGAGTGCCATGAAAAATCTAATAAGACAAACACTGTAATATTTGTAAATAATGTACTCAGCAGTATTGTAAATAACTTGGATAAGAGAATAGTGCCACAGGATGCCTACTACATTGCATGATAAAACAGTAATATTCTGTTCTGGATTATTTTTGTTTGCTATTATCTGCCAACATGCGTATCGAGCTCTGCATTAGAAAGAAGCAGTACATAAGTGTAACTGAAAATAAATAGCAGTATGTTTACTTATGTACTGTACTAAAGCTAAGCTTATAATAATGAGCTCCTACAATCATTTTATATATTTAGATATATATATAATATAAACATATCTATGTATATAAAATGTGTAACACAATAGTTTATATTTATTTTTTAAAATATCCTAAAATTTACATCTTCAAAAGCTTTTCTTCAAAGAAATGCAAAACAAATAAAAATACTTTGGCCAGTCTTAAGACTCTACATTTATTTTCTCAACATTCCCAAACAGTGACAGCTACCATCTTTGAAATCAGATCAAACCAGTATCATTAAAAAGTAAACTTAACCCTTTTAATGTGCCTTAAAAATAGGGTATAAACCCAGCAAATATTGTAATTTGGCCCTGTGGACATACTGTACGCACCATTGATGCTGTGCTGTGTGTAAAATAACTTCCTGCCTTTAATAGGAGTGGCCTCAGACATGTAAGTATGGCACAGAAGAGGTTAAGATACAAGTAAAACAAAGCTGGTTGTCCCTTGATACAAATCTTGAAATGCCTTTTAATTGAATTTGACATATTTCACGCGAAAGAAAAAACATCTTTTTTTCTGAAAATGGTAGCTGTTACAATTTTCATAATTTCTTCACTGTGAATTTAGTGCCACAAGCCTGTGAGTCTCAAAATGTAGACATTGTTTTCTGATGCTTTAAGGCTGAGAGTTAAGTAAAAAAATCTGAACTAATCAGTTCTTTTGTATACCAGTCTATCCTATACAGCTGGGTAAATAATTCTTATTCACTATTCAAAATTCACTAAATTTCTGTGAATAATGCTTTATGGATAGTTCATTAACAAGGTAATTGCAGCTATTCAGTGCAATATTTAATGTTCAGTCTGTATTGATTAGGTTTGATTGGACACACAAATCACATAGTATGTTTCTGTTCTCTGCCTAAATCAGAGTAATTTAAAAAAAACACATTTTTGAAGTAAATATTTGCATTTATTAAAAAAATGCTTTCTTTGAATATTTCTAACTCTGCACTTTAAAACCACTATCCCTGCCAGCATTCCTGCCAGTAAATTTATTTTTTAGAATATTCCTAAAAAGACAAGTTAAAGAGGATATGAACACAGTCAAATGAATTTAATGTATAAATGTGTACAAATATTCACGGAAAATGCTTTTGCAGTATTTGCCCAGTTCTGCTTTTATAGAAGGAAAGAGATTGTAAAATACATGGAATGAAAGAGGTAACTCAAGGAGGTGAATCCAGTATTTAGACAAAGATTTACTTGCTTCATTCTGACAAATATTTTGGAAAAAAGCATCCCTTTTGTTTAGTATTATTTCCACAAAGTAGGTGAACTAAAAGGAATGCTACTCTCACTTATTTTTTGTCATTCCTATTTTGCCAGCATGTATTTGAACCACAGTGGACACAGTGATAAAAAATATCATGCTAAAGTAATTGTTAATGGAACAGCATTACTGACATTTGTACTGGATTCTCTTCATTACACAAACTCTTGAATCATGACATCATTGTACTATATCATAATAAAATCTGGATAGAACACACAAGATAAATCCATATTGAGCCTGATTCAGCAAAGCCATTAAACCTATGCATAACTTCCAGTGAAGTCAACAGCCTTTTAGCATGTGCTTCAAAGCTTTGATCCCCTTTCTATTGAAGTTTATAGCAAAACTCCTATGAGCTTCAATGTAGCAGAATCTAAGCACTTTGCTGAATAGGGATGGATTTAATCATGCACTTAAAGTAAGATTGTGCTTAAATGCTTTGCTGATTTGAGGCAATAATGATGCTGAAGGAAATAGAAAAAGAAACATTTGACATCACAGATTTCTCCAAAATCAGAGTTGCAATTTTATGTAAACAGTGAAAACACAAATCTGAATGTATTTACTATGTGAACATTTTAGTTAGTGAACCGCTGAACAGACAGAGCATGAAGAAGAGAGAATTCTTATCTTTCTAACTTTTGTTCTTACAAGATCTCTAAGTATATATATATTATAAATATATATCAATATTTTTTTATCGCTGTCCTCCATGTGGTGTGAGAGGAATAATATGTACTGAAACAAGCAATGGTGTAAAGTGGAAAAGCCACTTTGAAAATTGTACTGCGTACTGTAAGTGCATTAAAAAGAAGTTATAGATGGCCACAGAATAGTAATTGGTTAAACTCCTGATGTTCTTACTGAAATGTAAACATACATTTTGTTTCAGCCCTAAACTACAATCTGTACTTTTGTCCTAAATAGACAGATAAGATTTAAAAACAATATTCAAAGGGGATGCCATTATCTCATAACCCAAAGATCAAAAAAATGCCACTTGATCAGAGAATGAGCTAGATTAACTCCAGTAAAATTAAAGTGAGCTCTCTCAAATGTTAATTGGATAAAGCTAAAATGCTACAGTAAAAATTCTCTCAAAGAATATATGTCTCTACAAATAAACAAAAATAATAAATTCAAGAGATTCAATATCAACCTTCATTTCTCAGAGGGTTTAGCATGATTAAAAGAAAAATAAAAATATTTCTGAAAAATAATAAGTGGCTGGGATTAGTCTGGGCCATAAAACTAATCCTTCCCACAGCTAAAAGATTGCAACTTTGTTTGATCATATTTTCTTAAAATGGTTTCAGTGGCGTGAATCTACTCATTTGAACTTCTAAGTGACACGAGTCTATATTTCACTCTCAGAGAGTAATCCCTATTAAAGAAGCCAAAATTTATTTTTTTGGGGGGGAGGGAAAAAAGAGCAAATACTTGAAGTGAACTATTTTTCCTTTTTGTATATCTTGAAGATCTTTTCCATTGCTGGGGTTAGAGATTAATTGGGAGAGAATTTGGGGGCATATATCTAGCCATTCTGAGCCCCTAGATCAAGGAAAAATGAGGTTTTTCTAAGTCCACAATACAGTAAGTTTATTTCTTTCTCTTTTACAAATGTCAACCGGCACTAATATGTTGATACAGTCCAAATATTACCAGCAGAATTTTTACATATTTTTCTTGCATGCATATACAATTCTATAACAATAAAGCTGCTTCTACTGTATCTAGGCATTAACATCAATGTAGCTATATTATAAAAATGATGTACTAACGTGCATTAGTACAAACTATATGGAGTCTGGTGATCTTTGAACCAACTGGAATGCAAAATGCAATCCAGAAATTTAATTTACAATCACTGGGTTCAATCCTGCTTCCATGAAATCCAGTAAGTGCTTCCACCATATTGAAAACAATTTGGCTGTGATTATACAGCCTGAAGCAAGATATGATTCTGCTCTGATTTTGATGGGAAAAATCAAGACCAGTATTAGTATTTAATATTTACTAATTCAACAGAATTCCTGCATAAAAGCTAAGATAAATACTGTATTTTCATTTTCACACCATATAAACAGTGCGTTCAGATATATTTTATTTTTTCAAGAACTTTCAAGTCGTCCAAACACTTGTAGGCTTTATTCAGACTTGTTACCAACAATAATTATAACCAAAGAACATGTGTCACTGAATCAGCATGGCTCTCCTGTGACTCCATAAAGTCTTTTTGTTGCTAACTGTTCTTTTTATAACCAATATCATCCTCCCCACTACACAAGAGAACCCCACCTATATTTTTTACCATTATTGTTTCCTTTCCCCTGAGTTCAGTTCTTTGATCATCATGAAAACTATCTCAGTGGCACTTCCTGAAGGGTCTGAGGTGTTTGTTCTATGGTTTTTTTTTAATGAATGCATCAGTGAACTCATTCTATTTAAGAAGAACATGGAATAATCAAAGGGAAAATAAGCTCTAAGCAGTTAGCACACCAGTATTCTTTAATGTAGCAGAGACAGTGGGTCAGATGCTGTCTTTTAGCCTAGCCTCTGTATGTGATGGTATGTGGACACTACATGAGGTAGAGTGACAATTCTGGTGTAGGCAACTGTTCTGCCAAAGCGGGTGGCAGGAGCATTCTGGTATGTTATAGTGCTATGGAGGTTCTGGCTTATGACACACAGCCTGTAGGTAACTCCTGAGAGCAGAGCCATCCCTGGCAGGGGGCAAATCAGGGCGACCAGCCTGGGCCCCGTGCTTTGCGGGGCCCTGGGAGCTGGGCGGAGCGGCTGCAGCGACTCTGCGCCACTGCCATCTGCTTCGCATCCAGCCACTCGCTACCCCCTCCTCCCCATTGGTGACACCACCGCTACCTGGCAGCAGCAGACTCTTCGGGTCTGGGGCATGTGGGATCGGAGCGGGGGTGGGGCCTCACATGGGCTGATTTGCCCCAGGCCCTGCATCCTGCTCAGGTTGGCTCTGCCTGAGAGACTGTTATACATTACAGCAACCATTGGCTGCTCTGGTTTACTTTGGGGGCTGCATTTGCCCTCACAAGATCTGCAAATCTGAAGTTGCAAAAGTGATTTAAAGCCCTCTTTGCCCCACTTCAGACTAAACTCCACTTTTTCAAAATTTGAAAGAAAGCTCTTTCTGTCTCCTGAAGATCAAGAGCTGTCCTACTGTTGTGCCAACTCTGTGCTCCTAATTTCTCAAGCAGACCTTTTTGCCACTGTTCTGGGATCATCTGTTTTCAAAAAACTCAAGGGCCATGTATAGGTGAGCATGGATTTGCAGTATGTGGTGCGGCAGACCCATCTGTGGCACCACACACCGCATGTGCAGATGTTCCCCAAGCTGCTACTTTGCACTGGCTGTGGGGGGAGGAGGCAGGGGGAAGGGTTGACCCTTGGAGATACCAGGGTCAAAAAAAAAACATGCCCTAAAAAAGCGGGGGGGGGGGGGGGGGCAGTATGCATGGTGGCAGCACATGCTAACCAAAACTGGAGACTGGCCTGCTGGAGCCACATGCCAGCTGCCAGCCAGGTTCCCAGCTGCAGGACCACTGTGGATGCAGCTCCCCGAGCCCACCAGGTAAGGTTGCTGGGGCCAGCACAGTTACTGGCCCGAGATTCCCCCACCCGACCTGGGGTAACCTGCTGCATGCCAGAGGGCACATGGACGTGGCCAAGTAGTGTTTTCATAGATTTCATAGACATTAGGGCTGGAAGGGATCTGGGAAGATCATCGACTCCAGCCCCCACCCAA